ACTTGAGTGGCGAGGACAAATCGGCCTAAATAAATTTAAAACAGTTTTTAATAATTATTGTAATTAAAAGTTTAAATTAAGATAATATATTGGCTTAATTTTTTTTTTTTCATAAAACGATTCACTATGACTATGTTCCCCCCATAAATGCATTAAAAATGATTTGATTAACATATCCCTTTATGGATACAAAAAAAAATAAATTATATCTATTGGAGTTTATATTAAAATATATAACACTTTTATTGCCAATGTCAAATTAATATCTTTGATTTATAAGGTTTTGTTGTGAATCAATCCAACGAAACTAAATTTTAATGTTAATTTTAAAGAAAAGAATTGTAGATAACTGCACTAATATTTATAAGATAATTTGTAACAGTAAATAAGATATACCTATTTTCATGAAAACGCTATCGTATTCTCTTCAATTATTATCCGTCAATGGAGTATTTTTAAATTATTAAAAGACTTTTTATTCAATGAGTCAGTTTCTTATCTCTATAAACATTTTTACTTCCCGAGCGTAAGCTAACAAACTATTGTAATCGAGCTATCGGACGACTGGCTACTTCCATGTTTTCTCGACGTTTCATGATCCATAGAGTTCGAAAAAATAATTGTTCCGTCTCCGTCGGTCAGTCTGCCGTCTGTCCGGAATTTTTTAGAGAGGTAATCTACGACACTACTGGACCAATTGTTGTCAAATTTTATATGGATCTTAAGAAGATCGTGCACATATCAGAGATCATTCCCACCAACAATACGATGACGTTAACTTCAAAATTTACGTTAATAAATATTATTTAAATTTTATACAATAAGATACTGTGTTTGTATAAATTGTGTAACGTTTTCCAACTTAATTTGGAACTATAAATTAAATGATATGAAATCTTGCATACGTTATAAGTTTATTGTAAGCATGATAAATTTCCTTTAAGTTTTATGGAATTACTTACTTTTGTGTAATTAATGAATCCGTGCTGAGTTTTCACCCTAGACATCCAAATTTTTTGGAAATCAAAATTGGATAACAATATTTTACAATTAAAAAACCGAATGCTGTGTAATTTTGCAAATATCTTAAGGGTGGAAGCATGGTAAATCAGTAATCAAAATTTATCACTTTATGCCCCCTCGCAAAAAATAATGATCATAATCTTGCAATTTTGTGGAATTTGTTTTTCAAATTTAAATGTGTATATGTTATCTAGTTTCGTGGGAAAAAAGTTGTGGATTTTATTATTTAATCCCTTCCTCTGCGTCGAGGAGACAAAATCGATCAAATTTGAAATTTTATTGTTATTTAATTGCTGATGTTTCTGCCAATATTCGAATTCTTTCGAAGTATAAACATAAACAGTCAAAGTTACATGTATTGAAAAATCGAGAATATCTACATTTTTCCCGTTGGTTATCCGCTTTAGACATATTTCCTGTTGTACACACTTGTCCACTTGGCATTTGTGCTGGTTTTTTCTTTAATAAAGCTTACCATAAAACAAAAATCGTGAAACCACATTTTATTATTTTTCAAAGAAGCGGGAGTTGACGGAACATAGGAGTGAGAGATGTTCTGCCCAATTTTTTAGATTACCAACAATGAACCAACAAACATTTTTAAATATTTTACTTTGCGTCAAAGCTACTCGAAAATGTCCTTCAGAAGAGCTGTTCAGAATAAAATATATTGACAGTTGTTTGGATTTTGTCATTGATATAATTTTCGTCTTTCAAAAATCCATGGTTATCTGCCACAGTTGACTTAGTCTAGGGAGTTTGAAATATCCACTTAGCACGTGTTTGTATGTACACCATACTTTTCCTACAGGCACAGCACTTTTTCTTTCATGGTTGACTACTTTTCCATTATCTCTACCATTCTTAGGTGCTGAAGGGGATTACGACCTCTACATTTTTGCTCAGTGCAGAAATCAACCAGGTCTGATTTACACTTCATCGTTTTAATGCACTAATCCGTCTATTGCATGAACTCTCCTGTAAAGACTAAGGAGACATGAACAACATCGTACTCACGTGTGTGGAAAGTAAGAACAGTTCAAATTTTTTTTACATGTTTTTTTTTTACATTTAACTGAAATGCCAGTTATGTATAACTTAATTTCCACCTAAGGGGGTCCCTAACGGAAAAATATTAAAATTGATCTGAAGTTATTTAGACATAAAATCTCTCACCCTTGAAGTACAGTCCAACAAATGCAGCTTCCATTAAAATCATAAAATTTTATTTATATTATGATAGCCCCTATAAGTTAATATATAGTACAAGTCACACTGTAAAAAAAAATTGTCGAAAGTTATTCAGAAAAATTATAAAATTTAATTATGCGAATTTTATTTTTTTTATGAGGATCCTCACAATATAACTTATAAGTTACAATAAAGATATGTATCTAATGTTAAAGTAAATGTAAAGAAGCGTAATGACGCCCTTAACATTTTTGCAAAGACACGTATATCACTTTGGAGAGGTGCAGTGTAATACTAATGACAACAGTATTGTATTCCCAAATTTCCAGTAAAATGGTGTCCCCGATTTATTTAAAAAAAAAATAAATTAACTCATTCATTAATTTTTATAAGTCACCCTGTATAAGAAATTCAAAAACTTTTAATGCAATGATAAATCACTAGTATAGCCTCATCATATTTTGCGCATTTTACGTAGGATTTATTCGGCAAATTTTGAGATGACGTCAGCAATTTTTTGGGAGGGATAAAGAGATACATTTTCGTTAAAAATTTACCATGCTTACAATAAATTTAAAACGTCTGCAAGATATTTCAAACCATACGGTTGTGCAAATTCCTGATTCAATGAATAAAATACATTTTTTTGAGTCATCCTGTATGAGTAATTCTAAAAACTATGAGTGCGTTGATAATCCACAAATATAGAGTCATAATATTTTGCATACCGATTTCAGAGGATTTATGCGGCAAAATTTAATTAGCAAAATATTGTTATACACCACAAATGCAGGGGTATCTTATTTTGCAAAATTAAAAAAAAGCATACTATTATAAATTTTGGCGATGACGTCATCCCATTGGTGGGGGGAATGATTAGTCAAATTTTAGTTACCCTTTAACCAGAGACTTTAACCATCTACTTCTACATGATATTCATAATATATGTATATACAAAAGTTGATAACAATGGGTTCGGCAGTTTCGGAGATTACGTGTCTAATACGAAAACCTTATAACAATTTGAAACTACCGAACTGAATACTCTGAAATCTTGTTTTTTATCCCCACCCCCGTTAATGACGCCACCTTAGTATTTTGACAAATAGATCTTGTATAAAATGTGCAATATTTTATCAATTCATACTTGTGGTTTGTGGTACTTCAAAGTATACATATTTTACAATCCGTAGACAGAGTAATAAAAAAAAAAATTACCACAAAGCTTTTTCGACCTCGTTGTAAACATAAAAACTGCATTTTCAATTAAAATAATCTCGAACATTAAAAAATGCTAGTAATTAATGTAAGCTCACAAGTCTACAAAATATCAGCTTTCAAACAGTTGTGTCGCTGAAAGGTGACCTTGCGGATATTTGAATAAATTTGGCTGTATGGTCCTTGTTTATTCCGTTATGCACTATTTAAATTTCTGCAATGACTTAAGCCTGCTTCACATGAACAGCATTTGTCGAGCTCTTTGCAAGGATTCGTTGTTAGTGAGAAGCTTCTAACGTCATTGTTAAATTCGAGCTATTACGAGTAAGTATGTTCTGTTACAGGTAAATGGAATAAAGGTATGTTAAAACAATCTACACTCACTGACCTACCACAAGAAGTAAAAATTATTTACTCAGTAGTAATTCAGTTTTTCTTGGTAAGTTGCGTGATGCGTGTTTTTAATTTTATACTTATTATTTGTCATTTCCAAGTGACTGTCAAGCAAGATGCTTAAATTTCTAAATAATTATTGAGTGACAGGTATCCTTCCAGCCTTCTCCTGTTAAAAATAGTCCCCACCTTTTCCTATGTAAATCTACCGGGTCTTTAAAGTGTGTCCCCTTTTCAAGAACCACAAACATAAACCACCTTTACACATTTTAGGATCGTTTATTAAAAGCATATCAGGTTAAGTGGTGAGTATGTTATTTCAGGAGTATTATTGTGAGTCGAAACACCTTGTTGCCCAAACATCTCTGACGATGTATGGGAAGAGGAGAAATGTTTATTTAAGACTTCCAGCGAAACGAAATACAAATGGTGTTGCCGAAGACTCTTTTGTACTTTAAGATTTATTCGATCGTTCTATAAATATGATTGTTTGTGCAATAACAATCAAAACTGTAGGAGTAGATGCGCGCAATTGGAATAACAATGCTTTCGATGTACACGTGGGACTGCTTCTGGATTTATAAAAATAAAAGTAGGGTGGGCAATCCACGAAAAAAAAAGACAGTGACTTACAAAATATGTGTCTTCTGGTTTATTTATTTATTTATTTTGCAGTTGAGAAAATAAGAGTCACTTGATTCATTTTTACAAAAACTTGCAATAGTTAACACCTGTAAATGTGACGGTGTAGTTAAAATAAAATCAACAACTTAAAACGCCGATAGTTTTGTACAATTAGTTTTTATTCTTTCCTTTTCCCCATTTACAAATGAGCCTTTCACAAAAAAGACCACGAATAAGAAAAATACTTTTCATTCATTCAATTTCTCAAGAGTTTGATTAAGTTTTGCGGCATAAGTGTGTTAAAAGCAAAGCATATCACAATTCAAGGAAACTGGTTAATATGTTAAAAGATTCTGCAAGCAAACCGCTAAAGTGTTCTGCATGAATTCATTATAACTGAGTAGCCATTCATTTCATATGGAAATACACTGTGCTTCTTAGTGGAGTGTATTTTCTACGAGAGAAATGCATGCACCCGAACATTTTAATATGTTAAAATGTTTTGATATTAAATGTTAGTGGTGTTAGTTCAGTTATATCTAAATACGTACGCATGAGTGCAAAATAAGAAGCGTCTGAAACAAAAGAAAAAAATTATTAAAAGAAAAAAACAAAAGAACAAAAAAGAAAATGTGAGAAAGCACTGCAGAAGAATTATAGCAATTGCCATGTACTTGTGATTGCAACGGTTGTTTTGAAAGTAATAATTTGTTTGGTGGCAACTGTAATCTGAATAACGCATTACGGAATCACAAAAGCTGATTTACAATCGGGTTGTTGGACTTTGCGGACAATTCGATTGCAACCTCAGAAGCAAAATAGTAGAGGATCTCCAAATACAAATAATATAAATGTATGAGTTCGATTACATATTTTGATCGATACCGGTAATTTTTTTATTGTCATCGTACGTATCCACTGTGCAGTGACTTGTTCTTTTTACGAGCACCATCATCATCATTAAATATCTCTTTGCTTTATTCGGCACGGTAAAGGTCGCAAAGAGCAGAGGGTCATAAAAGAGAAAGTTGCAAAAAATTGCTTAAAAATATGTGACATCCAATAATAAAGAATTTTCACGATTTCACAATGTACCGACAAAAACAAACGTGTCCGTTCTTATAAGTTTAAGTGGAATGACAGTAGACTTTCGTTGTAATTAGTACGTCAATAAAACTGAAATGGAAACCAATAGTTATTGTTTCACATAATTTTCAGTTTTAAATTGGTTCCGAAAGGGTAAATTTTAGATAGAGCGAATTTTTTATTTATGATTTAAGAAATCAAGGTAAGCGTCAAGCTCACATAACGTATACGTGTTCGTTTTCACGCTTGTCTTCAATTTATTTTAAGCATGTAAATGTGAAAAGACCATTTACGCATGCACATGTGTCTTTCTGAAACATTACTAAAGGTTTCACTAATATGGCAAAGATAAAAGTAATTATTAATCACATCAAGAAATTTATGTCTGTAATGTCATGATGATATTTATGTTGTGACTAACACTAGTTATACTAATTTATTGCATACGATGGTGATAAAGTGGTCTATCAAAAACATAATGTCTTTATACGTAAAGAGTAAAGACTGACAAAAGCGATAAAAGAGAAATAGAAGCTTCAGTTTACATTATTTATAAGATCTATATACAATGGTATAGTGACGAAAGTTTCGTTTTACTTTCCCCAACGTTACGTAGTCCCTAGAGTACGAAAAAATAGGTCTCCCACTTCCGTCTGTCGTCCGTCTGTGTCCATTTCTATTAGACAGATAAATAATCGCCAAAACTTGTCAAACTTCATAGGTGATTTAAGAATTATTTACATTTTATAAAGTGACAGACTCCTCTATTGTCGTTCATTAATCCGTCTTGATTTTATCACCATTACTTTACAGAAATTTTTGTGCAATGTAATTTCATCCCCTGTATCACATAGCTGACATTTGGTTTATACTCGACATTTTTTTTCTAACACATTGAATTTGTTTGAATATTTGAATTTGACGTTTTAAAATAAAAAATCGTAGAATACATAGAATTTTGGATATTTCATCAATTTTTTATATAAATAAATTTTTACAAGGATGAATAAATGAAGTTTAATTATTGTTTTGTAATCGTTTTGTTATCTGGTCAATATATCGGAAATTACAAGACAAACTGTAACATTTCCTTTTACTCATTTTATTTTTTATCATAAGGCATAGGATTAAAAATAAGGAGATATAATTCAGTTATTTGTACCTGAATAAAGCAGCATGTCACACTATAAATTTTAAACATTTAAATCAATCAGTTTTTTGGTTTCTATGTTAAAGTGAAAAATTTTGTTGTAGCATTTTCCTTGAAACCTACAGACACAAAGTTAAAATTATGAATGAATAATAAATTTTAAGTACAAAAGCACAATATTTTGCATGTTTTACTTCCCAAAATTTTACGATGACCTTATCAAAATTTTGGTGAGGACAATCGGACAAATTTTAATTTACAACCTACACGATATCCTTGAAATACATCTAAAATATCACGAGAATCATCCTAGTAGTTTTGGAATTATTTGTCCAATGAAATTACCAACAAGCACCACGTAAACAACGGACGAACGGAAACAGTAGATCTATTTTTTCATGTTCTGTGAAATACCGAGAAAACATGAAATTAGCGATTTGTCAAACAGACCCTACTGCAGAATTATTTACATTTGAATTTAATTGTACGTTATTAAATTAAAGATTTGTTTTGATTTACGGCTGTATTTCGAAAATTTAATTAAAAAGATTAGTTGCAAGTTGTAACAGAGACAGTTCTTTCGAAAAACTCTAGTAAGTTCGGTGTGAAGTTACATAATGTACAATTTTCATAAAACTTTATTGTATAGGGTGTTTACTAAAGATTCTTCAAAAATTCAGGGGGTTATTCCTTGGAGTATTTTAAAAATTTTTTGTGGTTGAATGAATTTAGAAACACGTTTTATTTCGAAGATTCGGAGCGATAAAAGTGAAGATTTTAATCTCTTGGATTTTTGTTTATGGGACCATTGGAAAACATTGGTGTATATTACTATAGTGGAAAATAAAGAAGATTTAAGAAATTGGATAATTGAGGTGTCAAATGCAATAAGATATATATTTAAAATATTATTATTACATATTACTTTTTCTTAAAGTATATTGTACAATTGGATTATGTAATTTTTGATAAATTAAGAAAATTTAATCGCAATGTTGAAACTCAGATTGATATGCCATATAAAACAATATTATTGACAACCTGGGTGTTCAGCTGAATAGCCGAGTTTTTTTTTGTGTAAGCTTCAAAATATATATAACACATATATACAATGTACATATATAAGCTGAGTCAAATACACACAAATTAAATTGTTACCTTTATTTTATTGAGCAAAAATCATGTAAATACGAAAAGTTTTATGATATATTTGATAGAAAAAAATTATTCTATTTACATATCCTTTGAACATATCATTAAACCTAGCTTTATCGAATATCAATATTCTTATATACATAATGGCCACAGGTGTACGAATTAATCTAATTATTATTTTACTATTGTCATAAAAGGAGTTTATGAGCTTTTTTGCAGTATTTTTGATTTGTTTGATTATTATTTGTAATTATGCAATAAAAACATCATCCGATTGTGGCAACATTTTACAATTTTTTAATGCATCTAAAAATGGTTTTAACCGGTATTGAGATTCTACCTACACAATAGTGAAAAAGGTAATAAAATCCTTTATCCATGACCTAGTCGGCAAGACCTACAATGCAAATACTTGGTAATAAATTCTTAAAACCTTTGAATCCAGCATTATTACTAATGGATAAATCTTGATTATCTGTCTAATGGGGTTTTACATATTCTAAAAGCGTCTGATAAGTCTTGATCACGTTAAATTTTTCCAAATATAACAAGGTACTTAAAAGAATAAATCTATTTTTAGCTTCAACACATTAAACGCACTGAACAGAAATCATTTGCTGTTTCGAAGCGCTTTTCACTCCCACATTTCCATGCTTTATTATTAATCCAAAATAGCTTTATAAAGAGATCCGTGAGGAGAAACTGATTACCGTCATGATTTTATACCTTTTTTAGTATTATTTATTACGTTTTCTGTTGGGGCGTTTTATTGATAAGTAATAAAAAATGTCAAACAGCTTTGTAATTATATCCCAATTTCTTATTAAAATAAAGTGATGCTAGCGTAAAATCTTAAAAATCAAAATTTTTTTAATAGGAAACGACTTATAGTAGCCATTAAATTTTATAAATCTCGTTATGCGTAAAAGTTATAAAAACTTGGACGTGATCTTACGAGGTACTCATTAACATGAAAAATTTTACTGTCCGGTGAGGACATTATTTTTATTTATTTGACCTTTCATTCGCCAGAAACTACTCATAATAAATACACCATTATGACAGCAAACATTATTTATGAAGGTACAAAAATGAAATGAAGTGGAAAAACGTATTACATAAAAATTAATAACAACAAAATGGAGTGTTGATTTGGACTAAAAAGTAACCGTCGTACTGTAATTATTTTAACTGTAAAAAGACTTTTATTTGTGACAATTTGTTGCAGGCTCCTTAAATTTTAAACCGTTTTTAAATTAAAGTTTCAGAGGATTCAAAAGGAGTTTTAACAATGGGATCTTTTTGACGTTTAAATGTAACTACCTTCTAGAAAATCAAAACTGATTGGCAGCAAAATGAAGTACAATATCACCAAAGTAATATAAACAATGTAATATCTAATAAGAAAAAGAAAACCTGCAAGATGTGATAATATAGGTATATAAAAAAAAAAACAAAAAATGCTAAATTATTATACTCCTACACACAGAAAATGTTTATTCATTATTCGAGTTTCGTTTATATAATAAGATTTTAATTACATATAATTTTAATTTTTAATTTATGGCTGTCTAAGAGTGTACAATTATTCTGGAGCAGAAATGTTAGTTTATAATTGTTCTGCGTCATATCAATTATTATGTATTTGTACAAAAATTTCTGTTTAATTAAATCCCACCAAACAGATCAAGTACCAAAGTAACACCCTAAATTTTCACATATTAAGTTTATTAAGATAAAATAGGACTACCGACTGATTTATTTTTCTGTCTTGTCTTCATTTCTTTTATTAATTACGGGTTTTAAATAGATGTAAAACGTAAATCAGTATAAATTATTTCTCATTATTCATTTATCATTAGTGCTCGGTGCAAATTTTTTAGCAAATGTTTATATGGTGTCGGCGTTTTTCTTCAACTTACTTTGATACACTCTAAAATTTTGTCTACCAAGTTTCTGAACCTAGTTAGAATGTTTGAATACTTTTTCGTTACTTATTAGAGTCTGCAATTCTTGCGATATTCAATATTTCAAGATTCTTTACAATCAGAAACACAAACTTTAGAGCACATAAAACTTTCCTACAATCTTTTTGACACATAAAAGCTCAGTTTCTGTGCCAATAAATGTCAAGTAAAAAATAAATATCGTTTTATAAATAATTTACATAATTGTTTATGTTGA